GGGTGGCGCCTCCGGTCTTCTTGACTTTGTCTTAACACCGGGCATGGTTGGGTGAGGGAAGAGAGAGAGAGTGCGATGGCTGCTGCGCAAATGTACTTTCACTTAAAACTAATTCACGCACAAGTCACCATCCCTGCACTACCTTTTTTCGGAGCATACTGTGGATATAGTCAAAATCGGCGGTCGAACTGTCGTTGTTCAGTTGCCTATTCAGAGGTCAGCGGCCTTAAAGATATTCCCGTAAGGCTTTCTTGTGAGGTCAGCTAATGGCAAAAAGTTGCCCCGCCCAAATTTCATACGGAACTCGTAGTTGAAGATTTAATGCTCGATTAAGGCGTAGTTAATGCGTGTTATATGCCTAGTAAGTGCACTATAGGAAATAACTTAAAGCCGCTTATAATCGTTTCACTAAACTAAAAATATGAATGAAAAGTACGCGGAAAGAATAAACTCGTCCAACATAATCTCCCTATTGGTCAGCAAAGGATGCCTACAGACCAATAACTGAATTAGATCTCCTATTGGTGAACATAATCAAGGAATTGTTTGAACAGGCAGAAATTCGACCTACTGAAAGGGTGGAAGTAGTTTTCCACCATTAATCAGAGACAAAAGCGGCCTCACAAGAAAGCCCTATCGATACTTCTTTGGGAATGTAAGGACAAAACTTAAAATTCAGTTAGTACAAAAACCCATCTTTCCAGAATACTGCTCTGAGTAGCCACAATTTATTGGATTCTTGGACGACCGGAAGTCTACTATCTGCATGGTCTGGGTGAACTTGCTAGGCGGAAGGGCTCCTGAGACAAACACTTTTCTGCTTCTGACTACCTTAATCCATCTATCACCCCTCCCCCCGGCCTGGCTCTTCCTGTGTTTAGGGAGTTACAACCACCACCGAGACTGAGCCGTCATTGGCACCATCAGCAGAAGAGAGCGATGATGTGGAGATTGCCTCTGCGCTGGCGGAATTCGACCTTCTTGTAGCCCAGCAAGGTGAATGTGCCGGTGTGGCGAGTAAGTCGTCATATTTGGCTCTGTTCTTCCTGTTTTTTTTACCTCCTCCTTTACCTCAACCCTCTTGGGTGCAAACACACACACACACCAGCGCGGAGCGTGGGACATCGGTGCGCTGTTTGGCCTTTAAAGAATGTAATTACGCCCCTCTCCCCCACCTTCCGCACTTTTTCCGTGTACGCAACCCGTGACACAAGCGTTCAGCTCTCTACTTCTACCTAACCCTTGTTGGCTAGTTCGTTGCCTTGTGCATTACTTGTGCATACTCGGACCCGCGCCCTCCCAATTTAAGCGGCAAATCGTTGTGCCACTTGTCGAATCAGCAGGTTCTTGATTGGGAAAATTAGCCGTTTCGCAGTTATTGGCTGCTAGCAGCTGCCCCTTGTGCGACTACCTTCAAAAATACACTTTGAACCTCAAAAAATATCAAATAGACTTGTGCAGCATCTATCGCACTCTTTCCACCCTCACCCACCTGGGTTCGATGTCATGACAAAGTCAAGAAAAACCGAAGGCGAGATCGGGGTA